ATATTTTTTGGACTTATGAGTATTGTAAATTGTCTTTCAAAAAATGCACTGCTTCATGTGATTTTCCAGTCATTCTAATGCATTTGGTGCCAGTAAAAAATATTCCAGCCTCAAAACCTCTTACCAAAACTGTCGCACTGACAAAGTTCAGTTATGGTACGACTTAACGGACCGAAACATTACTGACTTAATTCTGACTTAATTCATTTTCGCCTAGATCTTACTTTTCTTCTAACTTTATTCTTTGCAATTAATAATAGCACTTATCGTTTGTGTTACTATTATTACTATTACTATTATAATTATCAAAACCGTTATCACTATCATCCTTACTATTATTACTGACTCTACTTCTGTTATTGTTATAATTAATATTATTATCACTTCCATTACCATTACCATTCATCCAAAGAAAGCCAATCTTTGTCACCGGTGATTCTAGCTCGGATTATTTCAGTAATTAGCCGAATTATCTTTTAACTCACCTTCTAGATGGCTTAAAGTGGTGAACGAAACTGGCGATTGCGACATATTCTAAAAGCAAGAAATCGTGAAGAAAAATATTTCGAAAGAAAATGCGGGAACGTGAACGACACGGACTACCGCACACGAATTAGTGTTCGAAGGGGTTTTTCAAATTCCATATGGCTGCCATTCTTTCCTTAAAACCAGCAAATTTCATGCTTTTATTTTTTAGCAGACAATGTTCCCTATCATAGTGTCTTCTTCAAATAGGTCGTCAGCACCTGGGCCCAGAGTTGCAACCCTATCGAATGCACCAGCGTCCTTTGTTAGTGCGTCTCACTGTGTTAGTGCGTTTCCATTGATCAAGCCGACTTTCATTTTCATGCCTACGCCATTTGCCTCAAACCTTTCACACCGTGCGTCTATCATTTTCTGATCGTACTGCTTGCGCTGCAACGTGGGAAAAGGAACTGGACCATTTCGATGATGCGCATTACACGGCTTACAGTTTTATTGAATTATGATCATATAAACGAAGAGAGTATGAAACGATAATGCAGTGCAAATCGTTCAATGATTGGTTCTCGAAAGATGTTCTGCCGTGTAGAAATTTGGTGGATATCTTGCTTCACCCTCGAATACCCAGGGTTTTTGTTTCGGTACCTGAAAACCGGCGATTTTAATTTGAGAAGACAGAGTTTAAAAACGTTAGATCTTATCCAAAAATGACTAAGGATGTTTACAGAGGGACATAACCTGTGCCAGAGTTGGCACCTCTGAAAAAAAAGGGTTATTTACTGGGCGCTAACGATTTATAGTTTATTGGAAAAAATGACGCTACTTACAAATTCGATCAGTATCCAGTATTTCAGTCAAAGAACTTCGTGTTTCGAGTATTTTCATGAGTCAGTGGGTCCTTTAGCAGAAGCACCAACCTCTTGCTTCCCGAATGGTCCCCATTCCGGACCTGTTTCATCCGGCTTACCCGATTTAGCGTCCTGCAAAAGTACTCTTTCATTCATCGGATACTTCGGTCATTCAGCCAACTTCTCGGCACATGATATGTTGCTAAGCCGCCCAAATTATTTGACATGTTGAAAAATGAAACTGTTTTAAATGCACGGTCGTTCATTATTAGAAGTGAAGAACGCTATGAGCTGAAGTTCCGCTAGGTGTTTTTGCATCTTAATAATCGCATTCACTAGCACTCATACACCGCTTGTCATCGTGAGGCACCGGAGAAAGGAAAATAACATCATGAGTGGCGTTCGGTGCTAGCGAAATCTCTTTTCTCAAACGTTTGAACCGGAAGGAAATCGAACTACTTATTTCTAGTGTCAACGGATCCTTCGAATAGTAAAGTGTTAATCAGTGGAACACCAAATTTCATACAAGTTGAAACATTTAAAACTGTTGGTCCAGGTTCCAAATGCATACACGTATCATGCCCTGTTGGTACTGCTTATTGCTTAGCTGCTTACAGTTTTTTTTCAGTTTTTTTTGGAACGTTAAGCAGCTGTTGAAATTAAATATCTGTGAGTTTCGGGGGGTCTAGGTCACTAACTTGTCAGAGGCTTCGCATGCTTATGTTCGACCACACTCGAGGGCCCACATCGATGTTCCAAGCGTTCTTAACTTTGCACAAATAATGCCATTAAAATTTTAGGCTCAGATTTTTTCGTCTCAATCCTAACTTTTTGTAGAAGCTGACGATAATGGCGAAGTAAGTGAATAAATCATACTTTTTTTGCATCGGCGGTGCCTTCGGTCTTCTGCGGACCCTTCTTATCCGGTTCTGTTGTTACTGTTTGAGTTCTTGAGTCCACAACTACCTTTGGCGGGATAACGGGTGGCTGTTGTAAAATATTTGTCCCTTTTTTGAAATTAGATTCCATTTCTTCTAAGGTAATTTTCTCCCTGAGTTCTCTTTTCTTTATCTGCAAATTTAAACATCAGTAGCTACGCGTGCCTTGACAAATAGGGCACTCATGCAATTTGCTCTCTTTTTCGGATCCAGAATTTTCCAAGACTTTGTTATGTGGATCGTTTAGGCTTGGACGGTCGGTGGTTGTAGGTGTTCGCCCATGTATGTTGTTGTTCGAAATTAAAAGCATTTGTATCAGTCCAACCATAAAGACTAACATCTGCCCAATTAAAAAGCTGCATTTGCAGTGCTTTTAGAAATGGACATTAAGATGCTAAGAAGTTTTCTTTTCTGAAATAGTTGATTGAAATTTTCCAAAGCAATCAAATCCAGGCATTTTTTAGGCAATTCAGAAGAAATTATTGCAAGGATTTTACCGAATTTTTAACGCTTAGGCAAAATAAGATTCTGTTCGTTAACTTTTTCCAGAAGCATTGTCGAGCAGGATTTTTGGC